GAAACTCAGATCATAATCATTCTGCATTGAACCTTTAGGCCTATAGTAAGCTACCCTCTTGTCCAGCAATTCTGGGAAGGCCCCTCCTTTTTTCTTGAACTGCAGAAAATTGCAAAATGTCATTAACAGCACCGCCACATCTAGAACAATAGTTGAAAAGTCCTCGTGCATGGTAATACACACTGGCGCTTTCCGAGACACAAGACTTCCCCACTCTTCTCCTTGGCAACAAATAGCTTCTTCTTCCTTTTGCAGGAAAGTTTCCTGGCAAAGTCCGTACGAACATTCGCATATGGCATCCTCTATCCGTGCCTGTTCAGCCACTGCTAATCATCTCTGCTCTTCCTCTTTCAGATCCCTGGCGATCAGCTCCTCCTCCGTCCATTCCGGTTCAAAAGCATATCCCTGGTTGCCAAATACATCGTCAAAATCTTCAAATTGCTCCATTTTCTTGTTAACAGTTCTTAATATTTTTCAATATGGCCGACCCGCTACAATTGCGCATGCGCATTTTTCGGGCCAATCAAAATGCTGGAATTTGTCGAGTCGTTGTGACGCCGCTCATGAATATTCATAGGTAAGTTATGGCGACCTCCATAATCCAGGTGAAGATCCAATACCTCAAAATTAATCCCAATATATCTGCCGATGCATTAGATGATCGTCGCACATACCCGGGTCATGTTTTTGATTATAGACTTATTATTCTGATAAATCATAGTTTTTACTTGAGGTTATTATCCCTTTAACCTGTTTTTGGCATTGCAAGGTTTGTTTGTCTTCATCTTTTAATAAAGAGCAAAAAAGAGGCAGGCATCAGTACCATAGGCTGGCTGATGCCAACCTGTGTTTGTTGTGGTCCAACTTGATAACTGGAGAAGCATACCCGGTCCTTGCTGGCCCATACCAGTCCTTGTATCCCAGGACCTCCTCGAAGACCCCCTTGATACTGTCCAAGCTGGCCCATACTGGCTGGATTGGGGATCTGTCCAAGCTGGCCCATACCGGCTGGATTGGGGATGCCTCCCTGTTGGTACTGAACTTGGTCCTGAACTTAGTCCTGCCCTAATGGTTGAAACTGGTACTTTTGACCTATATTGTGTATCCCTACCCCTTGACCCATCTGCACAGGGCCTATGTTGGCTGGTATATTTTGCTGAACCCCTTGGCCCATGCCGAGTGGTCCTTGGTATTGATTGTGGACTGGATGATGATTTTGCTTGGGACCCACCTGGGGTGGTGCATGATGTGTGATTTGCCCAAGCTGACCCATGTCGGCTGGTACATGTCAATTTTAAAAAACGGCTGGTGCTTGTTGTATGTTTGGCCCCGACTGACCCCTGTCAGCCTGCGCCTGTTGGTGTTGCCTCATATTTGCTGGTCATTGTTGCTGATTTGGCTGCTGCTATGCTACTTCGGCCAGCCCCTGTTATTGATTTGGAATTTGTTGTGCCACGTGGACTTGGGCTTGTTGCTTGTCTTGCCTTTGGCCCATGGCTCCCTCTTGTTGTGGTGCCTCTTGAAGACCCATGCCAGCTGACACTTGTTGACGACCAATCGGTTGAAGATCTACCAGGTTCATTCCATCTTGATTTAGAACCCTTAACGGGGAACCCTTGGGGAGGAATCAATTCCACCAATTTTAGCGATTATGAGTTAAAAGACATTTCATAATGTAGAGATACCACTGTTATTCATCAATGAAAATATAAATAATCAAAAACCTAGTATGAACTGAACAAAAAGTGAATGCGAGGCAACTAGAGCTACACTAGTTATATTTATCTATAAGCATACTTCGACTCAACAACTATACTGCGAAAGCGACATACAAATTGCCCTTGGGAGGAATTACCTTACCAAGTGTAACCATACCAAATTTTCTGGGTTGAAATTCCCTTAATCACAGCAGCTGTATATTTTGAAGAGAAAAGAGAAGCCAGTGGAGAGTTTTACCTTGCAGCAATAGCAAATAGAGCTTACTTAGTTCCTTAGTAAAATGTGAGAGGTTGCACAAAGGCATTCCTTCCTACACAATTGCACATAAGAGTAGTGTCATCTTTTGCACAAAAAGATATTCGCTTTTTCCTTGGTTCCACAGGCATTGTAATCTGGAAAATAAATAACATGTTATTTATGTGATAATTAAGAGTTCATAAAAGCAAGACAGTGTTCTTTTATTCTCATTAGGGGAGATAACCTATAACAAATTGTCAAATTCATAATACAGCATACCATACAAATATATCATCTTCATCTTGGCATCTTTAAGACTAAGGAGGTATAATAAGAAACAGTGGTTTTCCATGATGTATTCTAGATAATTTATTACATTTTTTTTATTTTAAATTGATAAACTAATACAATGAAGATTATGTGGAATGATATGGTATATTTTGGATTCATAAACAAATATAATACAACATACATGTACATTTTTAACACTTTAGCTACATGTAGTTTTCACATCTTACATGGATTAGGTTGGACTGGCTTATCTCTATACCTTAACACTACATGGATGAACACAAAACAAAACACATTTACTCCATCCATGTACTTACTTCCTTGACTTTCTAGACTGAGCAAAATACTACTTTCCTCTTAGCCTATGCTCAAAACCATGCATTTTCACCATACTGAGCACTTTTCATATGATTTTGTAGTAAAGTTGTCAAATGTGAAAGCAATTAAACACTGAGATTCTTTGAAAAGTGAACACTCCCCCACTGGAAAAAGCTCAGTTGGTTATGGGCCTGTACAATCTATATTATGGCGACTTGTGTCAGGTCAGCAGAGTAACACATAGCCATAATGGAAATCAACATTCAGAATCAGATCGTAAACACAATGACCAAAATCAACTCTAGTGAACCCCACCCCACTCTTTGTCAACTGTCTCTGTACAAAGGAAACTACCCGAGTACTTTTTTTTTTTCGATCAATTAGACCTATACTTACCTTTTCCAGTTCCTGTGACTTAACTTTGTCAGCAGACCAGTTTTTAAACCATGATCTAAACCTGTAAAACATTGCTGGTTCGGTGAGTTGAACAAAAACTTTTTTTCAAAAATGTGGAGATGACATTTTTATCTATCAATTCAAACATCCATCTCACCAGAAATTAATTAATTTCATTACGAATGACCTCGATTTTATTGTAGACTAGATATTAATGTAACTTTGAGCTCGAACTCCCGTGCAGTGATATATCACTGCGGCGGGCAGGTATCTCACCGTAAGCATGGTAACTTCGTAATAAACAATTGACGTGATTGGTTCTAGTCCCATGCTCAGGTCGCGTGATTATAAAATTTAGACAATTTCATTGGTTGAATTGCGCGTATTAACTAATAAACAACGCGTGCGGTAAACTATTATCAACACAACTTTTACTCAGAATTTCTTCCGCGGTGAATTCTTCTCATATTTCAATAATTTTGAAATATTTTGACAAAATAACGATTGGGGAACATTCATGAATATATATTTTATAAGTTGTGTGAAAAACAAGTACATCTGTGACAAAAAAGGGGGACTATCTTCCCCAAATTTTGGGGATTCCATAATCTGCCCGCCGCAGTGTCTATACCGAGACACTGCATGGGAGTTCGCTTTGAGCTAAGTATCATTGTTATTCCCGACCTATTACTGTATGAAGACGATAAGGAGTTAATTACGTTTAAAGGACAATTTATAAGAATGCCACACTTATGGACGTATAGAGATGCGCAATAAATGATGACGTAATACACATGCTCTATAAGTTATACGTTATACGGGAATAATAAAGCAATGAGGTCAGAACTTTTTCCTATGCTTTCCTCGCCTGCATTGACCAGGAACTCCACTTATTGCCATCTCATGCATACGAGACACTCTTGTTTGTGAAATAGCTAAGGCCATAAGAAGTAGATTCTTTGTTTTTCGTCCCCATGCTTGCACGGTTTTGAGTAAATCAGAAAAACAAACATCCAAATAGCAATCCCATTTCGTTCAATCAGAATCATGCGAAATGGCGAATAATTTGATGTGCATCAAAATTGACAGTGTTATAATTACTTTGGCATACATTGTGTATTTTCTTATTTTTTACCCTTGAGAATAGCTATGTTTAAATATATTATATAAAATGTATAGATATGTGTTTGTAATCACTGCAGATTGGTATGTCATCCCTTTTTATGCCCATAAAATGTATACATTTCTCAGCAAACACGTTTGTGTTTTTTCTTGAGTTTGAGTTTGTTTTCCTTGTACCCTTGCGTAATTTGGATTTTACCAGGACGCAAAACAAAGAATCTACTTCTTATGGCCTAATGTTGACAAAAAAATTCTTTACAGACCCTCATATTTATACCATTTACAGTTACAAAATAAGACACACTGTACTTTCTTCTAGACTGTGATGATTTGGTTCTTGACCTTGCCTTTTCAACTTGTTTTGTTGTTTTGTTTATGAAATGATCTTTTTCCAAATCACTCAATTTCCAAAATGATTCATGTATTCCTTGCCGTTGTTTATCACTAACATTCAGACTACATTTGAATTTACAAAGACCTTTACAGTCCTTTCTAGAGGTCATTACTTAAGCAGGCCTGAAGTTTCCCTTAGAGTCATAGTAATCCATCCCAGATTGTCTACGTCTTTTCCTAATGTTGCATTTCCATGCTTTTTCATTTCTTTCTCGTTTTCTTGTTTTATCTTGTTTTACTGTGCTCTGTTTTGTTGTTACTTTTAGTATTCATATTTTGATTTATTGCATTTATGATGACATTGTTATTTCCATCCTTGATTTCTTGATGTATAATCTGTACATATACCGTATTATCTCTATTAAACACACAGTGCGCTTAGCAAATTCCCGTGGGTGAGAGGTTTCAAGCAGCTAAATCCCCGTGAATTCTAAAAAATTATGATGGTGGGCGATAATGGGTGAATATTTACTTCTATACCTTAAATCGATCAAATATAGTAGATATGTGCGTTTATTAGAGAGAATATGCTATATGTTATGTTTTTACCTTGAATTGTGAGCTCCTAGACGACAAATTTAGTATATAAATACACTATTGTGTGTTATTTACACGAACACCTGAAGAAATTACGTTGCATGATGGGAAATCGTGACGTCATGAATGATGATGCATTATTTTAACGAACGGTCTTGGGGCGGTAACTCTATCACAACACAACATGTTATTACTATGCTATTTATTTAAAATCAGACATATTAAATACATAAAATTACAATAAATAGTTAATGAAATTGACTAGACTAATGTTTAAAAGGATTGTGAAATACCCGAATGAAATATCTCTAAAAATCTTTATTGGCAATAATTTAATAAAAACATGGGGCGGATGCAGAAAGTAGACTAGGTACCTGTAGACTAGGCTTGAAATTAATAATAAATAAAACCAGACTAAAAACATTTAAATATGCGATCATTAATGTCCAGGTGAGTTTGGGTCCTCAAGCATGTCAAAGTCCTCAGTTTCACTCTCACTGCCAGATTCCTCACCATACTGCCTCTCGTCAAGAATTAACTGAGTATTCAGGTGGAACTCTTCAGCACATGCTGCTTCAGTTTGAGTGAAGCCCTCAAATGGGTCATCCTCATCGTCAGACTCACGGAGCAGAAAGTCATCCTCTGTGCCATCCATGGCATTTGACAAGCCACACTTGAGAAAGGACTTTCTTATCAGCTGGACATAAATGTTGAAACATGCAAGAAAACAAATGAACATTAACACTGAGATTAATGACAACATATTGAAACTGAATCTGAGAGCAAATGAACATTTCAAACCTCTGGAGTAATAGAATCCCAGGCATCCTTCACCCAGCGCATGAGCAGGTCTTTTGAAGGTGGCCTCTTGTTGCCAGCTGGTGTAAGGTCCACCATAGTTGGATCAATAATCCATTCGTCATATATATCTCTACAAAACATACATACATGTACATGAGCATACAATACAATCACAAATTATGATTCCGCCAATGTGTAGATTGATTGTGGGGCAAATTGAAAGTTTAACTTGAAAGCATCCTTGAAGGGGTTATTCCAAGACACGTCAACAGGTTGAAGTTTACTAGTTGTCCCTCCTGGCAAAACAGCCATAACAGTGTTGTATCTATTTCTAACCAGGTGTTTTATATTGTTAGTAAAGTGCGCTCTAAAACTATCCCAAATAAGAAGTCTGCGTCTGGAGTTATGTCTCCATATAACACGGAGCCACTTCTCTACAACAGCCTCAGTGCACCAGGCATTTGGTGTCGTAAATACCACAATACCACGTGGGATGTTCTTAGGGGGGCGCACACCTTTAAACAATACTGTAGCCGGCAGTTTAGTACCATCAGAGTAACCTTAAAAACATTAAAACCATTGTATCAAACACGAGGAATAAACAATCCCATGAACAAACACTTTGTAAACAATTACTCGGGGTCTCATATAAACAATGAATCGGTGAGCCAGGGCTGCAGCTCCTGATATGTTTGCAAACAATCAAAACAATTGGATTAAATCAATAGCCAAGTCAGGTTAATTTGAAACTTACCACCAAGCATTACCGTGAACTGAACTTTTTTCGTACCCACAGCTCATCATATTTATCGATTTGCTACCAATATGTGTGTAGTTCCCAGGCATTTCGACCCACACGGGTGTCTCGTCCATGTTGGCTATTGCACTTAAAGGGTAATCACACTGCCTTCTCAATCTGTTGACGTATCTCAGGAAGGAAACGATCTTGTCATCAATCTCACTAACTGGTTTTTGGGCTGTATGAGTGGCCCTTCTAAACGACAGTCTGTTTCTCAACATAAACTTTCGGAGCCAGGAACATGAAGCTTTAAATTGTTGATTTCCTATCAATTCAGAAAGAACTCGTAACTAACTAGGGCTACGACAGGCGGGAAAATATGACCTAGGGAAACGCAAAACAACAAAGAGAGTCACATAAAAAAATGATAATTATCATTATGTTTGAAGTCGCATGACCAATGGCTTAATCTTTACGACTGTAACTCTACCTCTACCTCCGCCTTGTCTTCTCCTTTTTATTTCCTTCACTAACTGATCTTCTATATCCAACCATTGTAGTTTTCTTCCACCCCCTGCTAATCGTTTTGTTGTCATGCCTCTTGTTTCACCTGCCATTTTCAATTGATCCTCTTCTTTCCTCCATTCGATAACTCGTTTTCTGTCAATCATAAACTCCTTTGTTGCCGCACTGTTGTTTTGGCATTTGGCATATTGGACAACTTTAAATTTCATGCTGTAGCTTGCATGTCTTCTCTTATGCCTCTCCATTGTTGTTCCGTTAACTGCCAACGAACCAAGCTTATTTTAAATTTTCTTTGTTCTGTAATGACTACCTACCTATTTCAAATTGGAATGATTGACATAAATGACTTACCTATTGGTTGTAATTGCCTTAGATCCACCCCTAACGCGATCAGATTGGTGGTTTGTGTACCTGCGCAAACAAGATGCGCAATGCACTTCACACAGAAAATGGCTAGCGAACACGAAAAAACATTCCATTTCGAGTCCACAATTAGGGGATATCATGAGTATAAAGATACATGTGACATTAAGATTGGAGAGAGTGTATACTGCTGCATCGATGAAGATAATGCATATGACAAAAATGCAACATTTGTGAAGAAAAATGATAAAATTGTAGGACATGTTCCAAGAGAGAACGCCAACATTTTTAAGTTCTTTTTGAAACGAGGAGGGACAATATCAGGAAAGATCGTTGGAAAGAGGCTGAATAAAGGCAAGGGATTAGAAATACCTGTTGTATATGTATTGAAGGGACGTGCTGCTGATATAAATAAATTGGAATCGCTTCTGAAATCGACACAATAAACCGGTAGGTGAAAATACTCTATTATCGCCCACAATGTTTTTTTTATTAGAGCTTCGTCAGATCTCAATATTATCTGGACAGGACTTTCTAACCTGGGACAAAAAGTCGGGTGTGCATTTTTTAGAGAGTGTGCGTTTAATAGAGATAATACGGTATGCTATTTGTATCCATGTTTTGTATATTCTTAGCATCTATGATGCTATTTGTGTCCGTGTTTTTTTGTATATTCTGAACATCTATTGTGTTATTTATGTCCATGTTTTCTTGCATATTCTGTACAGCTATCTTGATGTAATTTGTGTCTATGCTGTCTCATGTATTGTCAAAGGCTTTGTCATATGTGGTCAAGTTATCTTGTAAAGTATCCACATCTGTTATGTCCATGTTTTCTTGTGTATTTTCTGCATCAATGATAATATATAATATTCTTGCTATTAAAACAGCTTCCACAAAATGTGTTGCATCCTGAAATCAGATCATAATTCATTAAACAATTTATTTTCAGAATAATGTTTACAAATAAATAAAGAAACAATCTCTGTGAATGAAAATATTCTCATAAAACTCTAATTCTATCTATTTTTATCTATCACAGGATATAAATAATCATGTCAACGCTGCTGTATAATAATTCATCATTCTTTATTTTCTATTCTTGACATTTTGCTATTATATTATTATTAAACCCATAATTGTTCATCCATATCCCTATCTATCAATACCAAAATGAAAACATATGAAAGTTAAGTTTTTGTGAAACTACTCAAGACAAACATATTGAACCCAATTATGTACAGGCATTTTCTTGATAAGGCATATCTACCCTAAGGATTACTAATATTATAGTTATTATACCTGTGTTTAAATTCCTCGTTGAAAGTATCGGCTTTGTCCGCTTGTCCGCTGTGATGGAGCATGCTATTTTTCATAAAAACACGTACTAAGAATGCTTCACGATTTATTTTTTAACCCATATGTTTCGTTATATCAAAGATAATTACTTACTCCATGCGATGGATATATCATTTGCGGGTAACTTTCACTTCTGTTTGAAGTCCAATAACGCTAAGAGTAAAATCTATTGAAAACGGCGCCAGAGTATCAAACTCTAAAATGTACCATTTCTTTTTTAACTTTTTAATGGCATGATATAGTGACACGACAATATTAACATATTGTCGGAACTCTTGCCCGATCAGGAAACTCACACTTGAACTCTCTTGGGCCCAGACCTGGTTTGGTGGTCTGGAGTTACAGTTAGCAAAGAGAAACACAACAATGAATTTAACTTTAACACATATATTAACAGTAGTTAGATGTAACAGTAAATGATAAAAAGTCTCTTCATTCAAGGGCAAATCACATGTCTTTACAGCTCCAATAATCACGGCTTTGTATAAAAAACCTCTTACATGGGTAGGAGGTTTTTTATACAAAGCCAATAATCACTCCAATCACTGATTCTGATAAAATGTCTCTCCGACAAGGTTTTCACTTATGTCTCTGATTGTATTACTTTAAATAATTGTATAAATGGTGGTAGTGTGATTCTTGACTACTTTCTCTTGGATAGGTCTCCTCTGCTCCTTCAGACTCCGGCTCTGGATATCTTCTTAACAGTACTCTGGTCTCACACTCCGAATCCTCCTCTTCAGCTGCTCCGGACTCACATTCCGGATTCTCCTCAGCGGCTCTAGATTTTCACTCCGGATTCTCCTCAGCTGCTCTGGATTCTCACTCCAGCTGCTCTGGATTCTCACTCCGGATTCTCCTCAGCTGCTCCAGATTCTCACTCCGGATTCTCCTCAGCGGCTCCGGATTCTCACTCCGGATTCTCCCAGCTGCTCAGGCTACAAGAGGACTTCTCCAACTCCGGGTGAACTTCTCCAACTCCGGGAGGACTTCTTCAACTCCGGGAGGACTTCTAGAACTCCGGGAGGACTTCTCCGACTCCAAGAGGACTTCTCCAACTCCAAGAGGACTTCTCCAACTCCAAGAGGACTTCTCCGGTTACAGGGGGTTTCTCCAACTCCAGGAAGACTTCTCCGACTCCAGGAGGACACTGTCACACACGAGGGAACTCTGAATGTGATAGATGGTCTGATCCCCGGGAGACTTCCTTGGGCTATGAACGAGTCTTAACCCAGGAATGCTCCTTTGTTCAAGACAATCAATCACTGGATGGTGTAATAACTGGGATAAGGTCACGTGACGGATCACGTGACTACAGCAATATGCAGAAACTCATGATTGGGGGGGGGGGAAAGCTCTCAAACAACCTCTAAACACGTCAAAACTTGATGCTACACCCTCGGGAAATAATGTTGTATTACTACTTTAAAAATGGTCAGGAAAGATAAACTACCAAAGCTTCGATCAATGGATTCACAAAAGTAGGTCAACAAAAATGTTCAGATAAACTCACTCAAGTTGCTTCTGCCAATTCACGTCCCTTAACTGCTATCAGTTCCTCAGACGGTTTCCTGTTTGACCTCTGCAACTTTATCTTCACTTCTGTACACTTTATTAACTTTCTGTCAATCTATATAGGCATATATTCCCGATTCTCTGATTCCCGCTACAAAGGTTGCTGCTTAGTCGCCATTTTAAACCTTGTGTACCAATACGCCGAGAGGGGTAAATTGAGGAATTGGTCAATACATCCATGGATCACGTGAGCATCTGGTATGACACCATTCCTTCCAGAAATTTCCCCAAAGCACATATTTATTACCCCTCCCAATTACAATAATCAACCCCTAGTTATTATTCTTTAATGACCAATACATACAGTAATCACTCAATATTAAGAAGAACATCGTTCTTATGAAGTATAACAACACCTACCTGTAGTTTTAATCAATAACAGCACTGCAATTAATTTCAAGATTTCACACTCGCTAGAAACTGTCGTACTACGCATGTGCATCTAAACTAACATGACAGCACACCAAGATTCACGAAATTTTCCCACAATATGTTTTAAGCATAACTCTGAATGTATTAATGAGATATTAATGCATTGGGTCTTTTTAATTCTTTTATAAAAAACAATATTAATATTTGTTGTCCGCTGTGACGGAGCATTTTTACAGTTCACATTTGCAACTGCTCGGTCAGAGCGGACAAAAAAATTAAACATTATTTTTTATAAAAGAATTAAAAAGACCAAATACATCAACATCTCATTTATACCTTCATAGTTATGCTGAAACCATGTGTAAATATTATCGTGTCACTATATCGTGCCATTAGAAAGTTAAACAAGAAATGGTACATTTTGAAGTATGATACTCCGGTGCCATTTTCAATAGCTTTTCTTCCCAGTGTAATTGGACTTCAAACAGAAGTGAAAGTTACCCGCAAATGATATATCCATTGCATGGAGTAAGTAATTTTGTATGGTATAACGAAACATATGAGTTAAAAAATAAATCGTGAAGTATTCTTATAGTGGGGGGAATTTGCTGGAAAATATTTCAATTGGTGATACAAGCAAATTTAATGGCTTAATCTGTTATTTATGTTATTAGGGAAAAATCCATCCCTGTGATCAATAAAACCGAACTATATTTCAAGAAAAATTATAGATGGCCGCCATATAGGCATAATTTGGTACAAATAACACTAAGTTAAGTGAATGAACCTTTTTTCTTGAATAAAGATAATATTTCAAACATCATTTTATCTTATATTTCAGGTTCAAATTAAATTATTGTCTGCCAAATACAAAATAGCCTTTGAAGGAGTTCCACATGTTCCACAGTTCCACTTTATTCTGACTGTATCTTCCTGTCTCTATTCTCAGTGGCAAAGTTCCACATCTTAACTTTGAAAGTATTTGACAATGTGATCTTGGGATAGATTTCTTTAAGATATTGTTCAGTTTCTAGTGTTTCTTATAATATATTTTATATATATTCTTAAATAATATTATAATATTCCTGGGATTCTTTCACCAGTATGGAACATATTTAGCACATATAGATAATATGACAGTGGGTCCCCTCTCAATTTGATGACAACATACTTTAAATTTCTATCTGTTCTTTGACCAACATATATTCCACTTACTTCTGATCAATGGAGTGGAAGAGATTGAGTCTTTCTGTTCTCAAATTTTAACCAATTCTGTTTCAAAAACTGAGTCATCTGATTGTATGGTTCTGAGCAACGCACCTACGGATGTTACTCACAGTCATTAATTATCGAGACTGATTTGATTGGTCATATCAGGTTAGCTAAATTCTGTATGAATCTCCACTCACAATTGATGGATAGTTCAAGCAAGCCAATGGGCTCGGGATCGATAATTTTCTATAAATGCACTAGCACGTGTCGCGTTAGTGCACACCTCACATTTTCATTATCATTTATAGATGTCACTAAGGTCAGGAAGCAAATGTATGCCACAAGATGCAGAACTCTCGCAGTAGAAGAAGACTGAAAATACCAGAAATAACTTATCTTGCATTGCATACTTTTGTCAGGCAGGTATTATTATAACATGTCTGCAATAGTATGCTGCTGTTGTAGGGTTTTAAACATTGGAAGTGATAGCTGTTACAAACTGAGAATGCAGAGAGAGGTAAGTTTATCTTGTGAATTGTTTAGTATGAAGCTTTAAAAGGGACATTTTTACAATCTTGAAAAAATTCAATCTTTTTTCTAAATCTCAACAAACTTATGAAAATTCACAAAATACTTATCTAAAATCTAAAAACTTGAATAAAAACAGCAGAATTTGACCTTTTCAATCATTGTCAAAATTCATTTCATTCGCTCAAACCTTCACTATAATAATTGGAAATCAATTCTGCAATTTTGGGGCACAATCGTCAAAAGCTGGAGAAACTGAGTCTGGTCTGTAATACTGAATCAACAATGCTAAATCTTTAATATAACATGAATGATAACATTTACAACTTATTCTACCATAGAAATTGGTAATAGACAAGAAAATTGTTAATTTATCAAGATCCTATTAGTCACCAAATTGGAAAAAGCCTATGGAAAATCATCTCTAATTATCACTTAAGTTACTATTGATAATTAGTTGAAAGAAAGTTGTAAGAATTTACATGCAAATGAGCTAACTATCACCTCTAATTAACACTTAACTTGCACCTTAATTAACGTTAAACTACCATCAATATGCAAATGAGCTAAATAGTGGTCGATTTACATAAATTACATGTAGGTGAAAGTTAGTCGTAAGTTTGATGAGAATCATCTCTAACTATCACCTAACTTACTATTGA